AGTGCATCCTGATTTCAGTTCTCCAAATTCAAATGACACAGTCCAAACATATTATTCCAATTTCTCTTGTGATTCTGACATATTAGACCTTTAGATACTAGGCTGTCTGCCTAGGTTATTTGTCTGCAGCAAGGCATAACTTCACATTGTATCTAAGTTCCTTTCTTTAAAAATAAGGAAAATAAGAATAATAAAAATAATTAATGTAAAGTTGATTTTATTTATTAACTTACCTTAGTGTCACTGCCAGTCTTTCTTCAGGTGAAATAGCGAGACGCATCAACAGATAAATCACGTCTTCTGGCTCAGCGTTCTACCGAACCAAAGATCCTACTGCCTTAAGAAGCGTGTCTTAGCTGCTCTAATAATTTCACGCATCTGCGACGATACATGTAGTCAACCCGAGATCACTTCAGTTTGATAAGAATCAGCTGATTGACCACATAGGGACAACAGATATCCGAAAAGTGCAGCAAGATAGCTTTCTAATATATCCAAGAGGAAAATACCCAAGGGGCTTCAAATTCACAGACAGCTTTAACATTCTAATATGTTAAACGTACTCTCACAAACCAACCTTACAACTTATGATATTATTACTTCCATTTCAGAATGCGCTTTAACCCGAGAGAAAAATGTTTCTACTCTGGGTCAAATGCCCTGTGCTTTCAGCCTCTCACCTCTTACTAATATTTTGAAACAATCGCACGAATTCATGAAAATGTTATCTTAGTCAAATGTCTTTACACCTTATCATTCATATCTACCAGTTTCGTCCCTTCGATACGCTTAAATCTTTCGCCTTTTACTAAAGATTTCCGTGGAGGGGAACATTTGATGAGTCTTTAACCAATTTTTTGTTGTGCCTGGCGTAAGCTGGGCCAGTAATCATTATCATGTTTTCGTAACAATAATTACGCATTTCTTTGCTGCTCTGTTCTTGAGTGTGTCTTGAAGTGCTGTAACAAGATACGGCGTCTGTTTTGTGCCGGTATTGTTTGCTATAGAAAATGTATGAAAGTCTATGTAACGAGGTTACGATCCGAGATCCACAAGCATTTGTATTCCAATAATATAGCCGTGTTAAAATACATGAGAGATTCTTCTGATAAGATTAAACTACTGATAACACATTCTGCATTTCTCATACTATACTGGGGTTAAAAACTCGGGGTGTGGCTGTGTCGGGGACACTGCCGTGGGTTTTACGTGAATACGTCTGCGTTAGCAGGTAATATTTTCTTTCGGATATGGGAATGAAATGAAAGAAACGAAATGGATACTTCCATGGGCTCGCAGTCGTCTTCGGTAGATGCGGGAGCCTCGTCTGAGCACTGCACCTCCATCGGCTCAGCGATAGCGGCCGTCGTTTGCCGCGTCGACTTTCCGACGTTTCCGAAGCCGTCTCACTCGTTCCGCCACGGACATTTCTTTTACTGTTTTGTGTCCGGTTCAAAATCTCATGGTATCCCAAACGAAATGTTATTTTCCAGTTGCGTGTGTGTTTGTGTGTGTACGCAGAACAATGTCCATATCATTCATACGTCGTTAAGTTTTTAAATATTTGTAGCCTTCGGATAAGAAGACAAGGGGCCAGTGAGACGACGAATTTGAGATAAAAAAATCCCACTATTATTAACGCACTTGCGAACCCAAATGCAACTGAATTTAAAATATCGTGGCATAATTACGATCGCTTCGCGGAACACTGGTTGAGAAACTCTACAACTGTGGGCATGTAGGAGAAATATAATAATTCTCACGGATCATATTAGCCAACATACACAAATGATGATATCGCATGCATCACGTTAAAGAGCAAATGAGAATAATGACAAGTCATTTGTCTTTTATTGCTTGTTCGAAAAACTCTGTATCTGGCGGCCATAGTCGATCGCGATCCTGGTTTTGTGTGGACTACGGGGCAAAGTTCCCTCCCTCTCTGCGGCCAGTCTGTTTCTGGGGCTCAGCTAGCCTCGTATTCCCTGACCACCGAGGGTAAAGCAGGCCGCAGCGTGAAGATGACGCCTGAGCACAGGAACAATTATCGCATCAACGAATTATCTGACGCAGAATCGGAATCAACTCCAGAAAATTCTCTAACTTAACGAAAGTAAAACCTCGAAGTACTCAAGACAAAGCTGACATTTTATCCAAGCGATATTCAGTTCGAATCTTGTACAACGACACACTCCCCACCTTGTCGAAGGCAAATTCGTCAGCAGTTCCTCAAATCCGTTTACACATTCACCCTGTCCCATTCACAATTCATAACAAACGTAGCATCAGCCATTCGAAGCCGCCTGTGAGATTAATGAAACTCTGTGGCACCATAATCCAAAAAAAAGATTCAATCCAATTCCTGTCCCCTCTTAAAACACGCCCGAAATATCGGCTTCATCCAATCGCAGTAGACTAACATGTTGGCATCGGCTACCCCAGTTTCCTGGTTCTCCTCAGTTACTTCAAAGCAAGCCAAGAATATTCTCTCGCTATTTATCATTCATAACCATCCCGTCATATTTAATTAATGGATATGCAACATTATCAGTTGACAGAGTGTTGTAGAAACAAAACAAAACACTACCTTATAGGTCATTGTAAACGCCTTCTAACGGGTTTACCCATCAAATTACGTGTATCTCAGCCCTCAAAACAGTGAAGGAGGCCGTGGGGGTAGAAACTTCGAAGTCCTCCATCTGAAGGCCTTATCTCTGCGTGGACCAGCACCTGGCCTCATGTGTCAAGGCTCTGACGTCACCCCAGAGAACAAGGCCCCCTGACAGCCTAATTTCTCGGTTTTGCATGTATAGTTCACGTTTGCGGTGAAAAACCAGTTATTGGGAGTTGGTAGTCAGTGAAGTGCTTTAGAAACATTCGTGTGCACAAGTACTTATCACTATTTATTATTATCAACCAAACTACGTGTTTTATTTAGCCGTCGGTCGAATGCGGTAAATTACGCGTATATTACCATAAAACCTTTTCTTATATTTGGGTTACAATACATATTGTAAGGGGATTTACTCTGGAGACATCTGGTAGCATACGTGTAAATCAACAGGAACACGACATGAAGCTAGTTTTGTGTGTTCAAATAATAAAATTATTTACGTACAAGGATTTATCAAGGGATTTAATGCTCGTGTGCTAACCTGAACTACTGAAAGTGCGTCGTTAAATAAACTATGAATAAATAAAAAAATCATGGTCTACTATAACCACACAAAATCAGCAGATTAATTCGGAAACACCCGGTAGCTTATAGGTCTAATCATTAAATGTGTATCGTTTAATACGCCCGTAAAAATTGCCCCAGAAACCAAAATCTTAAGAGAGACTCGAACCGAGGTCTGCATTCGGGTCTGTGACTTTAGTTAATCAGATGCCTTCCCAGGAACAAACAAAATTTGTCTTAGCGCCATTCGTCCCCAGTGTCTACTATCCGAACAACAGAAAACATCTCAGCCGGAATTCGAAGGAAGGAAACATTTTCTCTGGCCCAGGGTCCAACAGCGCCCGGGCTCCTCAAAAACCGTCTTTATAATTAAACAAGTATAATAAAACACGACGTTATTTTTAAACATGGGCAAATTAAATTGCAAATCTCTTTTCATTACTTTTAAACTGATTTCCTTTACAGATAAAATATTTAATATTAATTATTTTCTTATATTTATGATAGAATGCAAGAAAATTATAATTTGGGTTAATTCTCTTTGTATTTTCTAACTAAAAGGATGTGAAATATGAAACTCAGGTGTTCATATAAAATACGAACACTTGCTCGTTCAGCAATGTAAACAAAGGATTGGAATTTCTTAAGCACACCACCAACAATCTCGGCTGGCATGCCATAAGGTTCATTTCTTATGCACGCCTGAATGAACTGAATTGCACTCCATTCCTTTACTCACTGTTGAATCTTAGGTTACGTAGGCATTGTTGTATTTGTATATACATCAGTCTACAATCGTATTTCGTCAGTATGGAAAGAATTGTCCTGTGAATCGGTTGTAGATGAAGTGCTTCGTGAATTAGATAATTTTGTGATGTTAAAAACCTTTCACGCAGTATAATCAAGCATCAAGCATCTAAAGTATCTGTGATATTTTAATGTGTTTTACTTATCTACGACTAACGCTATTATCGGTGCATTTCATTTGTTGTAATTGGTAATATCTGTGTTGGTACCTGTGGTTGTTGTGTAGAGAAGTTTTCACTGTGAGTGTTTAAGTACTTTTAATTTTATTAGTAATCACTCAGAGTTTAAAATGAGTAACAATAATACCAACCTTGACAGGAAGTCACCAGATACAGGTTGCAGGAAAAGAAAGATAAAATATTCCTCTTCGCCTCGTAATCAAGCAGGCAAAAGGAAGGAAGAATATGGAATAAGTCAGAGTAATAGAGATTATAACAGAAGCAGAAATCAGAGAAGTAATAGGAATAAGAATTTAAATGAAGACAGAAATGGAGAAGAAGAAAGGTTTGGGAAAAGAGAAAGCAATAAGTTTTCAAGAAACTTATGTGAGAAAAATGAAAATCAGGCTGCTTATTTCAAAAGAAAGGACGGCAGAGATGAGTATGAAAAGAATTCATACAATCAAAGTGAGAACGCGAGTGAGTGTGATCGATATTTGAGTAGGAATGACAGTGAATTCCACACTCGGCAAAGTGATGTTGTCTGTGTACAGAAGGAACCTGTTGACTTGTTGACGTCCAGGACAGGTGGTGCATACTTGCCTCCTGCTAAGTTAAGAATGATGCAAGCCCAAATTACAGATAAATCAAGCGCTGCTTATCAAAGAATAGCATGGGAAGCACTGAGGAAATCTATACACGGGCACATCAATAAAGTGAATAGTGGAAATATTGCCATTATTGTGCGAGAGTTGCTGAAAGAAAATATTGTGAGAGGACGAGGCCTACTTTGTCGTTCAACAATCGAGGCTCAAGCAGCTTCACCAGCTTTTACCCACGTATATGCAGCTTTGGTAGCAGTTATTAACTCCAAGGTAAGGTGTGCGTAACAGTTTCTTTATGCAATATGAGCAGGATTTTAAACTTTTTTTTTGCAAAATCCAAATTATCTTCACATATATACACACATTTCTAAAGGTCCCACTTTTTGTTTATACTCGAGCAGACAAGTGTTTAAAACGAAATCAACCCCCCCGACGGGGGGGGGGTTGCTTGCGTTTAAAATATTGAGTAAGAAACTAAACCAACCCCCCCGAATGGGGGGTTAAAACACTTGACCAACGCCCCCTCGGGGGTTGATCAAGTGTTTAAAACGAAATCAACCCCCCCTACGGGGGGGTTGGTTGCGTTTTAAAATCTTGAGTAAGAAACTAAACCAACTCCCCCGAATGGGGGGTTCAAACACTTTACCAACCCCCGAGGTTTCGTTTTAAAATCTTGATTTAGACACTAAACTGAATCCCCCTTCGGGGGGGTTAGTTTAGTGTCTTACTCAAGTCATTTTTCAAGTCATTTATTTACTCGGCATTGTTGTGTTGGTACAATAATGCCGAGTAAACAAATATAACGTAACATTGTTTGATGACGTCATTTTTGACGACGATGACAAACCACAAATTTTTATAGTAAAGATTTGTATTTATATATTTTTCATGCTGTAAGTTCAGCAAAGTGTTGACCATGTTTAAACATGAATATGTATTCTAGTTCTATTCACTGTAATGAACCATCTAATGAGATGAACTCATGAGAAACTTAAGTGTGTATAAAAATGAAATATTCCCTCATACATTCGTTCAGTATGTGTGCACCATTGTTCCACCATTAAGGTGTTGTGATGTGAATTTGCAGGCCATAGTTTGGTAATTCAGTTTATGTTTAATATGTAGGTGCTATACTTTAATGCAGTTGTTTCATGTCAACAGTTTCCAATTATTGGAGACTTGCTGCTAAGACGACTTGTCATTCAATTCAGACGCGGCTTGAAGCGCGATGATAAGACCATTTGCATTTCTGCTGCAACATTTGTTGCTCACCTTGTAAATCAGAGAGTGGTAAGTAGTTTTAAAAAATACTTTAGTCACATTAATTAACTTGCATTATATTTATGTTCAGGTTTATTTCGTTTTTGGACTTTGTCCATCGTCCAAGGTTAAAATATTCATGACGTTTCGAAAACAGGATCTGTTTTCATCTTCATGTATATGGGGCAAGGGGCACCTACATCGTCAGAACCCTACAGAATCCATTTATACATCCAATGAATCCAATGAATTGGACAGACTATTCCATATGATGTAACCATTATCATCAAAGTTTCAGATCAGTATTCCATTTAAGTTTTGTCATTTGTAAGTCAGTATTTTCTGGATTTTAATAAATCATGCAGTTCTGTGTGTTTTTCTTCAATTCTATGTGTCCTACTTCAAAAATAAATAACTCTTAATTTTGTATTTATGCATATCATATGGTTCTCATCGTAAACAGTGGTTATTTCCTTAAACAGTGTTAATCAATTGTTCTTTGTAATGGTGAAGTAGTGTTGTATTTTTTTGTGATAGAGACTGAATTTTTAAATATTATTTAGACAATCTTCAGCTTCATTGGGTTAATTACAGATTTAATAGAGAATGCCAGGCTGAAATGAAATATATTTACAAAGCCCTTTTTCATTGATTCCATTTTCACAGCAGTAATCATTCACGTGTTTTGCCAGTCCTCACCATTACTGAGAAAGGATTTTGCATGTATTTCTAAGGAGGTACATAGTCCAAACATATGGTCATTTAAAAATCAGGTGAAGTACATGAAAGTGTTTATTGATCCACTTATTTCATTGTTAAAATATGAACTTGAATGAGTGCGATTCATAATTAATGCATTCCAGAGAGAAGGATTTACTTGGGGAAAGAATCAACTTTTGGTTTTTGTAATTTTTGAACAGTTAATTTTTGGTAGGATTTATTTTGAAATCTTTTCCATTAAAGAAAATTATTCATATTGCCTCAAGATTTCTCGGAGCAGGTTTGGGAATCACTCGTTCAAGTCGTTAACTATATGAAGCAGAGTCTGTCTTGAGAAAGTAGATAATTAAGCAGAGATCTGAATCAGAAATAACAACATTAAATCAAGTGTATGTATGAGTATGGTTCTGTTTCAGGCTCATGAAATTGTGGCCCTGGAGATTCTAACTCTTCTTGTAGAAAGTCCAACAGATGATTCTGTGGAAATAGCCATAGCATTTCTAAAGGAATGTGGCATGAAACTAATCGAGGTATCAAAGAAAGGAATGGACGCTATGTTTGAGATAGTTCGACATATTTTAAATGAAGGACAGCTGGATAAAAGGGTAAGTTTTCTTCAACTTGTGTATTCAGCTAAAAGTCTCAGACATACTTTAATTTTACATTTCCAATATTAAACAGTTTTCATATATTTCATAGCCCTTGTCATGGACATTTTACATCCAAGGCATTTTTACTTGTTTTAAATGTAGACATGAAATAACACTTTGGAGTCCATGATTAAGGTGGACTAAAGAACACTTTTCATTCCAATATGAGAAGACTTTGAATTAAATTTGACACAGAATGTCACACGATGTTTTGCTCAGACGTAATGATTTCTGCCATCTGACCAGTTTACAACAGGTTTCTTTCTCTGTTACATTAGTATGGGCTAGACCAGTGGTATTCAACCTGGGGTACGCGAAGACATCTTAGGGGGTACGTGAAATTTTAAAAAAATATTATTTTATGATAAACACTGAATAATCAGTAATGTAATTTATTTAATTTGTTTTAGATGTAGATTATATAATATGTATAACTTGAATTATACACCAACAACTTTGGGGGTACAAAGTTGAAGATAAATTATATCTGGGGGTACGCGAAGACATCTTAGGGGGTACGTGAAATTTGAAAAAAAATATTATTTTATGATAAACACTGAATAATCAGTGATGTAATTTATTTAATTTATTTTAGATGTAGATTATATAATATGTATAACTTGAATTATACACCAACAACTTTGGGGGTACAAAGTTGAAGATAAATTATATCTGGGGGTACGCGAAGACATCTTAGGGGGTACGTGAAATTTGAAAAAAAATATTATTTTATGATAAACACTGAATAATCAGTGATGTAATTTATTTAATTTATTTTAGATGTAGATTATATAATATGTATAACTTGAATTATACACCAACAACTTTGGGGGTACAAAGTTGGAAGAGAAATTATATCTGGGGGTACGCGAAGACATCTTAGGGGGTACGTGAAATTTGAAAAAAAATATTATTTTATGATAAACACTGAATAATCAGTGATGTAATTTATTTAATTTATTTTAGATGTGGATTATATACTATGAATAACTTGAATTATACACCAACAACTTTGGGGGTACAAAGTTGAAGATAAATTATATCTGGGGGTACGCGAAGACATCTTAGGGGGTACGTGAAATTTGAAAAAAAATATTATTTTATGATAAACACTGAATAATCAGTGATGTAATTTATTTAATTTATTTTAGATGTGGATTATATACTATGAATAACTTGAATTATACACCAACAACTTTGGGGGTACAAAGTTGGAAGAGAAATTATATCTGGGGGTATGCGAACAAAAAATGGTTGAATCCCACTGGGCTAGACAATTGAACTTCATTTCCCTTCTGAGATATCAGAATTTTTTCGCCATTATATCACACAACATTTCTTTAGCACACTCAGTTTCCTATCAGTATATACTAGGTCCTAGTAACTAGGAGAACATGAAACTAAACATAGCGAGTGCTTGGCTCCTTATTTCAACATTGTTACGGTGTATTTTATAATTTTATTTACTTTTACTGTGTATGTGTGTTAGGTACAATACATGACTGAAGTGATATTCCAAGTGAGAAAAGATAAATTTCGAGGTCATGAAGCAGTTATGAAAGAACTGGACCTTGTTGAAGAGCAGGATCAGTTTACTCATCTCATCACATTAGATGATGCTAAAGATTCAGAAGACATCCTCAGTAAGTTTCCCTGGCTTCTGATTCCTTACGTGTCGTCGTACATTTACATGATGCTTAAATATAACATTTTCTTTTTTGTGTGATAGAATTGATCTGTGAACTCATAACATTGTCAATATGTTCTGCTATTCCGATGTTTAAGCAAAATTACTAAAATATAACCTCAAGGTTGAAGAAGTACGAGATGGAGACAGGGTCAATGGAACGTTGAAGTACCAGATTCGCTGTAATAGCATTGGCTCTCGGCTATGATATTTCCGCTTAATGAGCAATATTGGCATGTCTGCATTCACTTTATTTTTGACTTCAGCTTGCTTGAAGGTACATACAGATTTTGAATCTGGTAAGGGCATTCACAATACATTCACCTACAGACATTTTTACTGTCAAGGAATGAATGCATTTACGAATGTGGTATATTCAGACATGTAATAGTTTCTGATTATTATTTCTTTTAGCAGACAATTCTTTTCATTACTGTTTATAATAGCATAGAGATGTCATTATGGAAGCCTTGCCTAGCAGACAGAACTGCACGTATCATTCAGTGATGAATGCTGTTGTCTGGCTGGTAATTTGCTGTCAGACTACTAAAACTGGGTAATATGAAAGATTTGCTATTGTTAAAATACCATAGCTTTGTGGTGTGATTGTTGGGGGATTTAATTAATAATGTGGAATTTGTGCATGACCTTGATTCCTAGACCAGAGTGGGTCATTAAGGCTTAAACCATTCGTTATTAATTTTGTGTTTGTTGAACCACTTTTGGAATACAGTTAAAAGAAATGTGGTGTAACATTTTAATGTGCATTGTCCCAAAAGGATGTGTACATATGGTGAATTAATTAAAGATATTTTAATTAAACTAAATTGTTATATGTCAGCACTGGCACAAAGTGAATTAGTGAATCTAATTTAGGTGTTCCAAATTACCATCAATAGCTCCTTGACAGAATTGACATTATTAAACAACTGACATTCAGGAAAAATATTGTATGCCACTTAGTAAACCAACAGCAATTTGCTGGTTTAATTTTTTACCAAGTAGTTTAGCCTTATCCCATTGTATGGTAGAAAAAGCTGTACATGTTTTGAAAGCAGTAATGTCGTGATTTCTAGTTTTGTTTGGTATAAGTATTTACTAAATTAGTATAAAATTTATAATGTGCAAAATAAGAGATGCGTGTGAATTTACTGAGATAATACTGACCCATCTTGGTTTATTTTAATAAACTTTTCCACAGCTTTTATGTTTCATTGTGATCATTTTCATACTAATAGAGTAAATATTTCTGTTGAACACTGTTGGAGAGCTCGGAGTTTATTACCTTTTAATGGGATATGGCTGATCTACTTGTTGAGGAAGGACCCAGGAATGTCGCTAATCGGCTGAAAACAGGTGGCCAGTGAATTGCTATATCTTTAAACAGATGGATTAATATACTAGAAATACAAGATATGTATTTGTGCATTGTTTATTAATTCTTATTAACAAAGGATGTGACTTAAATTATAAAATTAAATGATACTCAATTAATATTTCAGATGTATTCAAGTTTGATGCAGAGTATGAGGCCAATGAGGATAAGTATAGTTCTCTCAGGAAAGAGATTCTTGATGAAGGTAGTAGCAATTCAGAAAGTGGCTCAGGATCAGAAGAAGAAAGTGAAAGTGGTAAGCATTTTGTCAGTAAAGAATATGAAATGACGCATGCATGCTTGAATGAAAGGAAGCTAGACTAAAAGAAAGAAAGAAAAAAGTAAATGATGGCCTGTCCTCAGTTCTTTTCAATCCCATTCAAAGAAACCTTTGTCAATGAAGAAGGGGCATTGGATGTACAGAGACATATCCCTCAGGTGTTGCATTATTATGACATTTATTTCAAAATTAGAGTCACTGATTATTATACACTAATGTCTCCAAGATTAGGAACCAGATAAATTGTATGTGAGTATGCCAGTAACCACAATGATTTCTTTGGAAATATACGCAATGAATTTGTGATTTTTGAGGTGCACAATTGTCACATGTCTATTTTCCCAGAAGTAATTGGATTGTGGCGGTAGTTTCATCCATCAGCAACCTGAGAACATGCCATGCCGTACTCAGAATTGGCCCAATTATGACATCCATTATTACATCTAAGAAAATTTGTTCCAGTAAATTCTCACTCTGTATTAATTGTTTAGGCACATATAAATTTAATTGCATTGACAACAAATTCCACTCTTTCTTTATGCCACTTTTTTACAGGCTCTTATATTTTAAATTCTGTTCATATGTTTAAATTGTTTGCTTTTCATCCCAAGAAATATCTTCTCTTGAAAGTACCTCACATTTACATGATAATTCTATAACAGAAACATGGGGCACACAAATAATGGTGGCCATTTTGCAATAGATGCAAACAGGCAATAGGAGGCTGACCTACTGGTCCCACAGCATAATAGTCATAATAGTTATGCATACTTCACTCCAATCGTTAATTTTCTCTAATTTTGTAAAACACATAAGAGTTGGGATATCCATAGCATTCAGCACTAACTATCCAAAGTTGTTGAAATTCTTGGTATCAGGTTTGACTCTGATTAGCTGCAACACCTTCCAATAAGCCGCTTCCAGAAGTGGTGCTTCTAAACCTCGATCACACCTGGTCCATTGACTGCATTGCACAGCTGAGATCATGTTTGGAAGAAAAAACATTTGACAAGTGTGCAACATTCTTTGCTGGGCAGCAAAGTTGTCAGTGAACAACAAATCTTCTTCTTCTTCTTCTTCTTCGCTACCATTTAGCATTCAATGTTTGCTGGAACAGTGCAGTTCATCCATGTTGTTTTTTTATGCCTGCATGGAAATGGCTTAATATTGTTGAAACTATGTGGTTCCTCTAGTTTGCCTCCAATTTCCCTGTTACATCAAGTTTTTTGGCTGTCAATGCTTTAAACTTAATTGGAAAGTCAGTCATATTTTGTTTTACCACATTATAACACCACTATAACACAATATATGCTGACACTTTCTCTCACCAATTATAAACTTCTTAAATCTACCTCAGTGAACTAACTAACCGAAACAAATGTTATATACTACACTTACTTTACATCACATAATATCGATTCTTGTATGGAATGGTTGTGAGTGTTTTGGCAGGGCTTCGAAAAACAAAAACACATGGTTTAGTACCATGACTGGTCCTTCACAATTTCTAAATTAGCAGTTCATCATCTCCCAAGCATCCAGCAATCTTGTTTCGAGTATATAAAACATCAAGTGAACAACCACAGTTGGTGTATAGTATATCCATGATAAATTTTGAAGGGTTCAGACTATGGTGTATTACAATTAGTATTAATAGTTTTCTGGCCTTGTCTATTATATACTATTCCAAACAGAATACAAAGTTTCAGAAACTGATCTGTTTCCATCCTCTGATGAAAATGTGGCAGAGTACCTACTTACTCACTTGTGTCTGATATAAATTTTGTCATTGTTTCAGAGGAGAGCAGGGATGATGCCATTATTGATAAGACCGAGACCAACCTCATGGCTCTGCGAAAAACGATCTATCTGATGATTCGTTCAAGTTTGGATTTTGAAGTATGTGCCCACAGGCTGATGAGGATGAAGTTAAAGCCTGGAGAGGAGACAAAGCTGTGTTATATGTTTCTAGATTGCTGTGCACAACAAAGGACATATGAAAAGTTCTATGGACTCTTGGCTCAGGTAATGGCCATTTCCAGCACTGTACAAATATAAGTACAGTAAAAAATTAAGTGGGGGTTGAAGTTCTTAGAATCCATTATATTTACTTAGTGTCAGAACACGTCTACATCATCATTTGTACTTGTTGACTTTGTATATTTAATGTCACTTCAAAGGACACTTTCTTGTTGGTGCTGTGCTATTGTAATTTAACTTACCATCTGGGAATCATAAGGATGAATCTTACTGTGTTGGGACACAGTTTATTTATTAACTCTGGAATACTACACTTATAAATAGTCCTTATAATCCTATACTGGGAAACTGTATACCCCAAGCGATATTTCAATGACAAGGAGATTTATAGTTTGAACAGACAACTTTTATTGAATCAGGAACTTTCTTATACGTAATAATTAATGATATTTTAGTATTTCTTTAACAAAATTCATAATTTATTAGCAGTTAGGGCACAATCACACTTTGTGGGCATTGCAGACAAATCGACAACACTTTTGACATTTGACTGTTGTTTTTCTGTCATTTTTCCTGGGCCAAACACAACATCAGCCCGAAATATCAGTGTTGGTAGTGTGAGAAGCTTCTTGGGCTTCACGTTGTGCTCTGCCTCCTAGAACTTCTAGGATGAGGTTCTTTACACCAGCATGTAAAGTTCATACTGTTGACCACCTTTTAATCCAAGGAATGACTATCTGCTGACCAAGGCTGAGGAGAAACTTTCTTCTTGGAATTGCCTTTTGCCCTTTTACTACCATCACACTATTCAATAACACTATTGAATTCACTCCTGCCATATTCAGTAGTGCATAAAACACACAAAGTGGCCATCAACTTGTATTTCTTGAGCAGCTGTACGTGTTACAGAGTTGGTCCAAGGTGTCTACACCGCCTTTAGTTTTGTTGTAAAATTCCACTATTTCTGGTTTTTGGGAATGGTTATCAACTTCCTTTCCTTGGTGCATAGTGGAGAGTAGAAGAACAACTTTATTCTTCTTTGGACAAAATGATGTCATCGTCACCTCCTTGTCAAAAAGAAATAAAGAAATACCCACAGGTTTTCCTTTGATATCTATCATTTCTGCTGGAATTTCTCGCTTATTTCTTCTCAAAGTTCCAACTTATGGTCATGAAGCATAGATGATACAAGTGGCACAGAAGTAAACCAGTTGTCTGTGGTTATATTTCTGTTTGTTCCATAGATCGGTTTCGCAAGTTCCTTTACAAAGTAATCAGCAAGAGGAATTTGGTCATCGTGTGTGCCTTTTCCTACATATGACAATGCAGATACTGTGTAAAATGTCTTACTATCACACATCATGACAAGTTTAATCCCATACTTGGCTGGTTTGTTAGGAATATACATCCTAAAATGGCATCTCCCAAGAAATGCAATCAGTTGCTCATCAATTGTACAGCACGTTGAAGGATTGTAACAATTTTCACATTTACGTGTGAAATGATTGAAAAATTCTCGAATTACAGTAAATGAATCAGCTTCTTTTCTAGTGCTTCGTGTACTTTTGTAATCGAAACGAAGGCAGTTAGCAAGAAATCGGAATCGCTCTTTGCTCATTGTCGCACGATACAAAGGCTTTCCATAATGTGTTCCCCACATATCATCCAATGAGAGATGATTATCTTTTAGTGCAGCACTTACATAATGCAGTCCAACAAATGCTTGTATTTCTTCTTCGCAAGTATCCTCTGTATATGACTGGATGCTGGCGTAGTTTTCCTTCTCATGAGCAATTTCTTATTTACTCTGTAATGAACACATAACCATTCTTTTATATTTGTGTACATGTTTCCATGTTGTTTCATATATATCCTTAGTCAATTGTGATTATAATAATGAAATAAAATTAAAATATCATTCACAGTTTTACTTACGTAAATACTACACTGGGGTGTACAGTTCCCCAACAATGCTACTGAACAAGAACACAATCACTTCAAACAAGTTAAAACCTGCCGCTGCAGAGATATTGGTCTGATATGAGAATACAGGGAAGGAAAACGTTGGCAGTGCTGCCATCTCTTGACAGCACCTGAAAGAAATCGGTTGGGAGATCCAGTACCTCACCATAGCATTCCAGGGTTAAATTTGTTTTGGATACAGGTCCATATAACAAGAGAAACTTATGGGCCTTTACCCCAAGAAACAAACCCACAGCTCCTCCATAAGTTCTTCACATGCTCATCCTTCTGTGTCATCTTTTGTAACATGTGCCAGTCCTGATCTTGTCTTGTTCTCATATTATTTTAACTTCCTTCTTCTTTTCAGAGGTTCTGCCAGATGAATAAAATATTTATCCCTCCATTTCAACAAATCTTCAGAGATACGTACGACACGATCCATCGCTTGGACATAATCAAGTTACGAAATGTGGCTAAATTTTTTGCACATCTCCTCTTCACTGATGCCATTTCATGGGAGGTGTTGTCCTTCATCCACCTGAATGAGAAAGAAACTACTAGTTCCAGTCGAATCTTCATTAAAATTCTATTCCTTGAATTATCAGAGTGCATGGGACTTAATAAGCTGAATGGAAGAATGAAGGATCCGTAAGTAAACATATCATTTAAGTTATGCAGCTTGGCAAAGTTCAAGCTAAGACTTGAACTTTTGTCTCGAAATATATCTTAGAGCTGTAAAACTGTTTAAAGTTGTCTAAAAAGAATTAGAAGTGTGAAATGAGTACATTTAGAAAAGCAAAAAATATAATTTTATATGAGTTTTTTTTTTAAAGATTTTCTATTTGACTTTCTATCAAAAGCAATTTTATTTCACTTCTGTTTTAATATAGCTAATTATACAGCAAACATTCACTATTCAAAGCTAAAGATACAAACATGTATGTAGCTCACCTACAGTTTAAATAACCACCCATTTCAGTGCTCCTGTTATGGATACAAACAACGATGGATTGGAATATACTGGCTAAATGACATGCTGGATATGTAATATGTGGGAATACCAGTGTTTTTGGTGCATCTGAGAAACATTTGTTTGAAAGCTGCATGATGGAGCAAGCACGCAACTGCATTTGTCTGTTCCTGAGTGGGTGGATCGGCGGGAGCTGATGATTACCTAGAATTCAGGAAGAAACTTAATTTTAAATTATGTCATATAAGAGCATCGTAATTCCAAAGATAAGCAGCGCAGTTCTGCTTAGTTATCAAAAACATCTGACAGGTAGGTAAGGTTTTCTCCCAGATATCAGTGAAGCTAAAAAGCACTGCATTCATACAGAAAAAGGTATAGAGAGATTTATTAGTGAATTGTGTGATTGAGCTTAAAATAATAATATACAATTCAGTTTGTATTTTATTTTATTATTTGCTGGACATCCTGTTTATATTTACACATTAAAGTAACCTTATGTGGGAAATCTAATGCTGTTTTCAGAACAGACATTTTGTTACATTTTTATTTTTTATTTGCAGAACTATGCAAGTTGCATATGAGGGTCTGTTTCCACTAGACGATCCCAAGAATACACAATTTGCCATCAATTTCTTTACATCTATAGGCTTGGGAGAACTGACGTAAGTTGATAAAAGTTCTGTCACATAGGTTTTTTTTCAGACAGTTCCATCCTATGCAATATCTTAATTTATGTAAAATAAAACCTTCACCTGAAGAACCTTTCTTTTATAGCAAGGCTATCCATATAACGAACCAGATACTGGTTCCAGCAAAATATTATGCTGTAAAATAAACCCACACAAAACAAATTTCAAACGTGCTTGAATTTAAATTAAATTTAAATTTTATTGACTTGAATTAAAATGCGTTAGCTTGTTTATTGGCCTCTGCCAATTTGACAAAAGTCAAGAATTTCTTATTATAATGTTGTCTAACATAAAGGCTCTGGTTTTCTTTGTATTCATTGTCAGAAATGAGTGACTGAGATGAAATGCAGAAAATCTGTACTTGTAACTGGTCTTGAAACTGAGTCCCTGGGCATTTGAAGCCAGCACGACCAGTATATTTGGTGATGATGCTTGAAGTTAAACATCCAATATTGTGCTTATCATATTTCTTCATGTAAGGTGATTCTTACAATGTATACTAACGGATTGATTTGTAATTTATAGTGATGAATTAAGACATCATTTGAAGGCACAGACAAAAGTTCGATTTGTGCCAAAGTTAATCGTAAATCTCGTTAGAGATTCCAGTGATGACTCTAGTGACTCTGACTCCAGTTCATATGCTGCTGCTTCTTCTTCTTCTTCTTCTTCTGACAGTAGTTCAGGTATGTGTACTCTTTAATCTTTGTTGTGTGGGATTTTGAAAATCGTATTTTATGTTTTGTAATAGTTTGGAGAGGACATTAGAGTTTTATATATCTTTACAATGATATATGTATTTATATTATCAGTTCTGAAGTGTACGTGCATAATGTAATGAAGTTTATAAATTAAATTCAACAGAACCTTGTAGAGTAGTTTTTGGTAGGATCAGGACCTTTTCTTAAAAATTTCATTTTTTAAGTAATGTTTTCTGTGTTGTCTTGTTTTACTGACATTTCAGAGGTCCTTGACGCCTCCGTTGTCAGGGTGATCGCAATCTCCACGCACAGACACTTTTAGTCATAGCTCCGCTAAGCTTTATAATATTGTAATTGTTTGTTGGCAGAATTATTCTTTTTTCATGTTTTTACTTTTTATTACTTTTTAAGCCCCTATTTTTTAATGTGGGTCTTAGGTTCTGGTAAACACAGTATGACTGATACATGTGTAATCTTTATATGTTTCCCTAATATTTTAACATGATTATGATCATATTCATTGTGGTAGCCCATGGTAGCTTAAACAACCATGTTATTATTTGTGTATGTTTATGAAAACTTTGTCTTTCAGATTCTGATCATAAAAAAGTTATTCAGAAAAAATCTAAAAGCTCAAAAAAAGCAAGAAAACAAAAAAGGCGCTCAAAACATAAGAAGATAAGAAAGTAAACTTGAAAATATGAAAAGGAAGAAAAGTGGGTGATCTGATGGAGAGAAGCACGGAAACATTTGATTGTAAGAGTACAACATAACGCCCACCACCAAAACAAGAAAAATAATAATATGACATTATAATTTTATATAATAAAATTAATGTTTTAAGTAACATGTTTTGTTTGTAGTAGCTAATTTTTTTTATCTGTGGACCTTGTACAAGATTCATTTATAAATATTATTTTCTTATGGTCATGGAAATAAATGTTTTTAATATTGATGTTGTTAAGAAAGTTATGATTGTATTCCTGTTTCTCTTTTAGCAAGTACAGAGTTCATTATGATGACTCCAGAATAAATGTGCTGCAACGTGTTCAGCTACCATTTTATCCAGAATGTTGCAGAAAGTCTGAACACACTTCCTGATTTATCACATTCATTTCAAATAGCATCAAACATTTAATCAAGTAACTTAACTCCAATGTACATGAAGATGTCTTGTTTCTTTGTCACATGGCTGAAAAACAAAGTACGTAAGAATGAGAGACCCAGATCAGATTTGAACCAAACTGCACAGCCAGTCGCGCTTAGAATAAATTACAATTAGTGTTACAAATTATATAAAAACAAAAAATAAATTTTTCAATTTTTGAAAAAATGTAGGGGTTGCTGCAGGTCTGATGAACGAGCCACCACTTGTTGAAACGTAGAAGTTAGGCCTTTTGCAAGAGACGCAGAGCAATTTATACTAATTTTAAAAACGAATTTAGTTCCATGGTTCACCTGAAGCGGATCCGGCGATAACCGATCACGATTACATCGGAGTCCGAAATGTATGCTAGAGAGTTATCAGAAAATTTTATTGGGGCCAGTCTTAACGGTGATTGATGTTCTATGTCAATATTGAGGTCCATGTTAGGGGATTCTGGAACATTAATTACTCTGTCAGAAGAATCAGTTTCGTTATGTGAAGTAAAGGAATCAAGATTAAAATAATTGAAAAGCTGAATGGTTGGAGATCTTTCTTCGTTGAAATTGAAGTCGCCTTCCGACAGATCCAAGATTCCATAAAAAAATAAATAGCCATAATTCTTGTGAAACTCGTTGTAAAGAGAAGGTACAACGTATTTTAATATTAATGCAGAGGGGTCTTTCCGAATTAGCAGTTCTTTTTCATGGTGAATCTTCTCGAGGAAGAAATGGTTCCTGCCATTGATTGGTTGGCTCATGCGCAGATATATCGAACTCGGCTCTTCGCTCCACTGATTAGGTTGAGCATGAGATGAAGGCAGGCGATTGAACCACGTGTAAGGCGTCCTGTAAGAAACACAAACACAGATTAAACGATTGTGCCGTGTTCAGTGCAGGGAATTGAACTGGGTGCAAAATTCCAGGGACTTTCGTCTACGTCACACGAAAAGGTCAAAGGGGGCGAAGGCGCCATGTGCTCTGTTATTTTCACTCCGACACATTCTTAATATGCCAAATGTTCCAAAGTCCTTTCAGGGAATCAGATTTACAAAATGAAGTACCCGTTAAAGACTTTCGAATTTATCGATCAGTGGGGGTTCTCTTAAATG